ATGTTATAAGCGGCTGTAACGGGCCCTCAGCCTGGTTACTGTAACATGTACCACTTTAGCTGCGTATTGGTTTAAACACTGACTTTTCTCTCCATAGTCTGCAGTTTTTGCTGCAGGCCTCACTGCAGGGGGAGTGGGGCGGGGGGGCAGCCCGTGGTTGGGCTTATGGACGTTTCTGACAAAACAAAGCCAGTTAGTGAGGCTTCTAGCAGATCCACAGTAACTATGTATTTCCATCTGAGAATGGTAGTCAGCTTTGGAATAATGATGACCAGGGTCCCCACCACGATCAGTGAATATCATACAAGACTTCGTTAAAGTCACTGTTTGGACTAGCAGATTAGATTGACTTGCTGCGATATGCTCTCTACAGGTTTTGAAACCAGCTTAGGCTGCGCTATTGTCGTCATTCTGTGAATCGTTCACCTTCCAGGCATCTCTGTCTCTGTATCCTCATAAAAGCTGCATCTGGACCGTGATCTATCCTGTAATATCCCCACATCTCAGATCACTTCACTGCTGCTTGCTATGGGCACAACCGGCTCCCTGAGCAACATAGCTGGCAGGAGATCACACTTGGCCTGCTAACGATCGCTGGCTTTACTCTGATCTCCTCTCATGCCGATACTCCGCCACTGTAATCAAAATAAAATACTATCGTGACATTGCCTATGTCATGACAGGAGGCTCAGTGTCTGAATGTAGGATGACACTGACAGGACCTCCATGGTTAACTGTGTAGCTGGTGAACAAAGCTCATAACCCTAAATGAGTCAAGAACTGGTTCATTATTCGGCCACTAAGGCATTAAAGCCGGACATAATCAGTGTGTTTCAGTCTGATAAAATGTACTGCAGTAGGATACGGTACATTGTCGCATGACCAGTACGCTGCAGCATGTCATGCAGCATATTTCAGCGCAATACATCATTCTATGCCACTGTGTATGAATAATGCTCCTTTTCTGAGGGCTACGAAGGCACATTCTGTTACAGATGCAGGTGCGGCGAAGGCATTCAGCAGCCCTCTGCACTTCCTCCAATGTTATTTTTCATTTTGACAAAAAAATGCAGAAGAGGCACCTACCTTCATGAAGTCTTCTCCATCTCGGATGAGCATTGCATTGTTGGCGAAGGCTAACAGCTCCTCCGAGCTCTCCAAGGCACTGCTGCTCTGAGTCAGCTGATTCTGTAATGAACAAGGTTGTACATGACAATTAAGACTGACTTCTGCAATAAATATAACCATAGACTCGAAACCATCGATGTTGGGGAAGTTACTCAGGAACGTAATCCATCACAGACAGACCTCTTCCCTACAGAACTTCCCCTACACTGCAAACCATTATATATGAATTATAAGTGAATGGACTATAAACAGGAAACAAAGTGGGTGGCATAATCAGGGTATAAATGGGGTTTTTACAGGACGAGTCTCCCATTTCACAAGATTATGAAATTTAGGTTAGTATGAATGCAGACAATCGTTTTTTAACAGACTGCTTCACATTATACAGCACCATACACACACACACACACACCCAGAATATCCTCCTGAGCAATTCATCTTTGTCCCCTGTAGAGCACATTATGTTTTTGCTCATATCTCTCATACTGCACATGCCACTCTGTAAATTCTGGTTATTTCTTAAAGAGGACAGTCAGAGCTTTAAAAAGACATTACATGTTTGCAGATGTGACCTTGCCAACCTGCTCTTTCGATCAAATCAAAATGTTTAAATCAATATGATTTTTTTTCTCCCTTGGATCTCAAGTGGATATGCAGCTAGAGGGCAGCAGAGTAGCGGAACATAAACCACTAGCGTTGGACTAATAGGGTTGGAAGGGTCAAAGGTCAGCTGGCTGACGACGCCCCTAGGCCATGCTAACCCGAAGGTCAAATGATTCTGCGCTGCAACTCACCTTTTCACAAGTCAACATTTTAAAAAGGGATTGAACAATCTGTCAAAGTCCACCCTGCATTTGGGATTGTTTTTCAGTTTCTATTTCATCTGGGCACAAACTGACATTATACTGCAAGCCCAATGCATGAAGCAGGCTTTAATAACCTTGTATGGAATCGTCAAAGTCTGCAGTATAATCTGTAGCATCTGCTGGGAGTAAATGCAGAAATAAGCACTTTATCTACTCTCAGATGTTCTTATACGTTGACATATAAAATGTCTGCTTTCATATTAGAGATACTCCCAAACTCAGATGCCATGTGCATCATTTTAACGCAGCCTGGAGCGTCCCCTGTGCGCAGACCTGGAGACGCTGGGCCCTCGCATTACCTGCAGCTCCTGCATCTTCCGAGTCTGCTCCTGTTTGACTGTGCCGGTCATGCTGTCTTTCATCTCGTACAGCATGGAAAATAATGTGTCAAACTCTTCTTCCAGATCAGACAGCACTTGCGAGGTGTTGCTCTGTGAAAATCAGATGCATACGACCTTTATGAACGGCTAATCTAGGTGGAATTCACTACAGCAATTATCCTGCTAAAAAAACATACTTAATTAAAACTGCCTCCTTCTATAGGCCCTATAACAGTACATATTTATTTTAAACACATCAGTTTTATCTTGGGCACTTGCTGCATAGCCTTGGAGTTTAGGAGGATTGCACACTTAGACTCACTAGCATTTATGTGGACATATTCTGTAGCCCACTGGTTGTCATGCTGAAAAAGCCGCACGCTAATTATACACATAAGGCTCAGTTATGATGTGACGGAAATGGCTCCGCTACTTCAACAGGCTCAGAGAAACCATGGAAAATGACAAGAAGGCTTCCAAGATGTGCGGAAACAAGTCTAATTTGCAGGGAGAAAAAAACTGTGTACATTATGTCATTGTAAGTGTTGATTTCTTAAAACTAACAGATAAGTGTATTACCCCAACAATATTAGCATGGTGTAGGATAATTAACACTAACATAAAAGAACAGTGCTCAAAATAGTAAATTATGTACCTGCTTAAACAGTCGGAGCTTAGATTAGTGTTCATCTGTCTGCCTTAAATTCGACATACAACAAACCACAATTTAGTGTGTAGTAAATGCAGGCCACAGACTCACCTGCAGACTTGTTAGGGAATACCTGAGTGTTTCAATGAAAGTGTGGAGTTCCTCCTTTCTTTTGGCTAATGTAGTGATTATCCTGTGCAGGGCCTCCTGGCGAGAGAGCAGATGCTTCAGTATGTGAGAGTAAGCCAGGCATGTAGCCACGTAGTAAAGTAGCAGGTTAGTAACCCCCTCAAACTCAGCTTCAGCTCCGGCCCTATCGGCAGGCTTGCCAAACCCGCCCCCACAACAAAGGGCTACTGTGAGCTACCCAAGGTGCTCAGCTATGTCACTGTGAGCACCACAGAGACTCAGCACAGCTTCTCAGTATACAGTACACAGTGAGGTGGTGAAGTACAGCTTCTCAGTATACAGTACACAGTGAGGTGGTGAAGTACAGCTTCTCAGTATACAGTACACAGTGAGGTGGTGAAGTACAGCTTCTTAGTATACAGTACACAGTCAGACAGTAAGTACTATTACTTACTTGTAGTTAGTTCTATTTCTGAAAAAAATTATATTTAGCGAGGAATCAGTCAGTATGTCTGTTGACACCTCTGAAAAACAGGATTGTTTCCAAAATTATGCGGACATGCTGAAATGTGGCCAAAATGTCTGCAGTGTCATTTAAAGACAGGAAATGCTGGGAACTGACTGCAAAATCAGAAATGCATGCTGGAGACAAATATTGATTCTATCCATAAGATTCCAGGATAAAACACCTCAGCAAGGTCCACCTCTCAACACCAGCTATGGGCAAGGAAAATATCATAGCAAATATTAAAGTGTTAACAGTGAAGCCAGAGAGTTACATAGAGTAAATTCTGGATGGAAGCCGAGGGCTATTTCTGATGTCCTCTTACTGGTTAGGTGATTGACAGAAGGGCACAAGCAATACCAAAGGCCTGAAAGAAACTTTATTATGTGATTAGAATTAATCTCCCTGCAGTGAAAAGATGGATATGCTGTGTGTCTGCACTGCACTGCAGTTCACAGTAGGATGTGTACAGTGACCACTGGACTACAGCACTCCCTGCATTCATGACAACAGCTCTGGTATGGACCTGCTCTCTTTTCCTTGTACTTTCTGCACAAAAGATTGACCTTTCCACAAACTGAAATCCTCTGTCACTTTTTACAAGAGCTTTCCATGAAAAGCAATACTCCAGCCTGTAGCATCCACTGCAGTGTTCACTTCTTAAGAAGAATGCAATGAACAGTCCTAACTACCCTCAGGGTACTAACTAATGACTCCAGACTGCAATGATGTTACCTGGTCATGTGTCCCCCCCTCCCCCCCGAACTCAGTTTGCACGGTTTTATTTTGTATAAACGGCCAGGCAAGGCAGCTATGTCAGATACTCTGCACCGGGAAGCCGAAATGAGGACACCATCAACTTTGTGCAACTGCCACAGTTTATTAATACCTTTCATTTTAACATAAACATTAAAGATTTTGGAGTCACTGATAAAAACACATAAGGATACGGCTGCACGCGTAACAACATTTTTAAATAGAGCAGAATGTATTGCATTCTAAGAAAACTACATGAAACCAAAACATAATTCATACAGATTTTTGAAATATAAGGGCATTTGTAGTAAGTGAGCGACACACCTTCATTCTGGTGATGACTTTTGCTTTATTGATGTCTTTTTGTTTTGCTTTTTGAATTATGACAAGACACGTCAAGTCTCTCATTGGCAATCCTTTTTCTTTATTTTAAGCAACAGCTTTCACTCACATCCATAGTGGTAAAGTTTAGTGAAAAGTAATATAATTTCTTACATTTTTTAGGAAATGTGTTTGTAATTGTAAAGATGAAGATGATGATAATAATAGTCTATGGTCCTATAAACATCATTTTAAATATCACTGTTACATTTACATATTCTAAATATGTATTGTGATGCATGTGTAATTTTAGTGAGCCTTTATTATAGTGACTATAGTGCTCATATATCCATGTTACACTACACTCCTGGCTACATTGCAAGCACACAAATATTCTTGAACTTCCAATGTTTACAACAAGATATTTCATGACTAAAATTGAAGAATGTTACCAATGGACAAAATTAAACTTAATGGAAAGGATGATATGTACCGGCAGGGTCCTGCTCTCAGGCAGCTGTCCGTGAGCAGTTCAGTGTGGGTCTGAGAGAGCCCACCAGAAACAACACCACTAATACTCATCCACAAATAATTAAGCTCAGAGTTTCACATTCACCAGTCGACTAACTGAAAAACAAACAGTTACACTACAATAGAGTCATGACCTATTCTTTGGTTTCTCTGTGCACCTGTTGAGATGCTTAAATATACTAGTAAAGAGTATTCAAAATGCCATGACAGCAATTGAAGCACAGTGAGAACAAACGCCATACTGGTGCTGAAAACATATAAGCGCATTAAAATGCTTGAAATGGGTGTCCACATCTAGTTCTGAGCACATTAAAGTGCTCACACAGTAACAACTACATTTAACAAATGACAAACTTGCAATATGGAATATCCTTATGGAAAAAAGGAAGATGTAAAGTGTATTTAATAGGTTTAAGAAGCAGGAAGGGGAAAGAAACAGCATACAGTTTGCGGGCATTATCACGGATCTGCTGTGAGCCTGATCCCATTACCCTGCGGTGATGCCTGCACCAACAGCGGGCCCAACATACATTGTCATATATCTCTGGGCTATTTTAATCTTGTCTTATTTTAGCAACATATAGTCACTGGTGCTAGACACATACCAAATACACGAGTAAAATCTAATTTGTTTTAATTTCATGGCGATCAATTGAGAGCCGGCTAACCAAGAACTTTAACTGAAAGTGTTAAAGAGTTACCGGACAAGCCGAGCCCCCAGAGGGACAGCATGGATTTATGAAACACACTGACACTTACTTTTTGGGCGTCCATGGCGGAGATGTTCACAGACCAAACGTGATGATTCACGGAGCAAATCGAATCAAGGAGAAAGAGTCTCTGGTGGGAGAGAGAAAGTGGAGCAGCAGCGACATGCGCGATTCACTTTCACTATGACATCAAGACTGTGGGAGACTCTGGGAGACAGCCGCTCCCAGAAAGCGCATTGGGAGTTTGCGCAGCGGGCAGCGGACTGCACAGGGGATGCTGATCTGCGCAGCGAACAGTGGACTGCAGGACAGAGGGTGGACTACGCAACGGATTGCACATGTGATTGTAGGCTGAACGCCGGCAGTGGACTGCATGGAGGTTGGTAATCTGCGCAGCGAACTGCATAGACAACAGTACCCTGCGCAGCGGACTGCGCAAACGTTGAGCGCCGAAGTTCGCCGAACGTGACACGAAGCGTGACGCGCGGCTCCGAACACGCTTTACGGCAGCATTATGCGCATGCGCAGAATGGGAATCTGGAGTGCTGTTATAAAGGGTTTTTTGGTATCTGGAGCGTTATTGAGAAGTAGTTTCAGCTATGTATCGGTACAGCGGGGCTATCGCAGCTGTTTGGCTGTCTGTGGTAAGGTCGATTTAAACTGTCTTTTTGTTCTCCAGATTAAAAACGTAAGCAAAAGCATTAGTTCTGCAGGGTCTTCTGAGGCTGGGCACCGTAATTATGCATTTTGAATACTCTTCCCAAAGACAGTGGTCCCAGGCTCCCTGCTCTACGAAACACATTTCCTTGACCATCATTTATATTGTACATGTTAAGTGTTAAAATTAAGTATATTTTCTCTGCAGTGTTCGTGAACATGCTCCAGGTTCGGCTTCGTGCCTCCCTCTCTGCTGTCCAGAATAAGCGAACCGACACCAATGCTTAGGCTGAACAGGACTGCGGTTCTGGTCCTGCTTGGAACCACCAGTCTCCTGTTTCTGCTTTTCCAGCTCTATTACTACAGACACTATCTGTCAAAGGTGAGAGATTCACCAGACAAGCCTCTTCAGTTTGAAATGCTGCTTTAGTCTCATTGAACTTTCCACTTCACTGTCTTATTTGTGTGTTTTTATATTTAGCATGGGACACACGCCTCCTATGATAAATCCATCCAACTGGACAGTGGACAACACCTGGTATGATGTAGTGGGCTGTGTGTTTCACAGTAAAAAACTAACCAAAATTGAACCTTAAAAAGGGACAGAGTGATAGACAGTAGGACATCTTTTTCTGTCATTATTCTTACATTCTGAGGTCAGAAAACAAGTAATGGCTGTGAATTGTTCTCCAGAATCTCTTATGCAGGTTTTCTGGTAATATGGTATACCATGATATTTCAGGTATGCTGTAGAATTTCAGAATCCTGGTGACAAAACAGTGATACAGTTTCCTGTTTGTATTATAGCGACAAGATTTGCTAATACCAGAATAAAATTGCTTTCGAAAATACCGTATACTGCGCTACGGTGATATGAAAAAATTAGATACCGCATGTGCAAATTAATACCGGTGAAGTATATAATATTGATAAAGTGCATAGTGTATTATCAGTAGTGTTGGCAACTAACCTATTTTTTGTCATTTTTGGGGACTCGTGCAGCAGGTAGTGAAGAAGTTCCTGGATCTGATTTCCCGGTACAGCCTTGCCGTCTTCCTGGTTGACGTAGCCACGTTGGGCCGCCTGTCTCAGCGCCCTGCACAGCCGAGGGGGAGTCAAGCTAATGAGCATCACTGCAGCCTTCTCTGCTCCAGCAGGGGGTTCACCACCTTTGCCATGCTGGCAAAATTTTGGAAGTATGATGTAAGGAATGGTGTGGTATTGAAGTCCACAGTATAGCTCTTCTCTTATAGGATTTACATGACACTTTGTTTACTGAAATTTCTGAATTCTCTTTAGAAACTTTTAATTTGACATAAAGTTAGTACCACGAGTAGGTACTTTGTTGGTTTTGGTTGTATGACACAGTGGTCTCTTTGGCTTTTTTTCCAGGTCAAGTGATTAATTCAAATTAATTTTATTTTGTATTTGACTTCCATAAGGAGTGTATATAGCAGCCTCAGTATGTTAACAGGAGGATTTTTACTTAAGAGCTCATGTTTTCTGCCCTACAGCAGCACTTCCTTCATCTGTGTCAAACTATGGTTCTGACACTTCAGATGGGTTTTGATCCATTACAGGCCAGTCTTGCGAAGACGGCATCAGAACTTGGGTTGGAGCTACTTGAAATTCAAGGCAAAGACCCTCGGCTTGTGGGCCTGGACGACCTCTCCAGCACTGAGATTCCCCTGCACCTCCTCTTCCGCTCCAGCCAACACCTAGTCCACCTTGTGGTCTTCTACGAGCGCAGCGGGAATTATCTGTGGCACGGCGCACTGCGGCTTAAACCTGGCATGGACAGGGAGTTCGCGCCGTTCCGGAGGCTTGACTTTGGCCGTCAGGCCGGAGCATTTGACAGGTGAGCCGAGGCTGGATTCCTGAGAAGCCAAGTTGGGTTCACCAGGGTAATGTGATTTCATACTGGGTGGGCCAGTGCTCAACATACTTGTGGGTTATAAAACCGTGGCTTCAGCAAAGTGATGCTGCAGGTTACAGAGGTTACCCCTGTGATTCCATATATACTCCACACCGCTGGGGCTTCTTTTCTACTCTTTAAATACTCCTATGGTGCCATCTATACTCTACATGCTGTTGGGACTAATTCTCTACTCTTTAAATACTCCTGTGGTGCAATTTACAGTCTACATGCTGTTGTAGCTTCTTCTCTACTCTTTAAATACTCCTATGGTGCCATCTATACTCTACATGCTGTTGGGACTAATTATCTACTCTTTAAATACTCCTGTGGTGCCATTTATGGTCTACATGCTGTTGGGACGTCTTCTGTACTCTTTAAATACTCCATTGGTGCCATCTGTACTCTACATGCTGTTGGGGCTTCTTCTGTAATCTTTAAATCTACACAACCATTTTTAGTACATTACTTGCCCTTAAAGCCCTTAACCTCAGGCCAGGAGGGACAGGAGGAGTAGAAGGCACTGTTCATCTGCCTTGAGTGTTTGTAAACCTTGTCTTCTGTCAGACCCGAGCTGGTCCTGAGCTCTCTGGATGGCCTGGATGTGTGGATCCCCAAGAACGTCTCACGCTTTCTGATTGAGCACAGCCAATCACGCTTCTTGGAGTGCAGATACAAGGGTGCGCGGGCCTTCTACCAGGTCTGTGTTGTTCATGTCCTGATGGTTAATCCTTGCGAAGCCTTCCTGTGTAGATATGGGACTTTTCTCCCATATGCTTCTCAGCTGTACCCTGATGACACCTCCCCAGAGTCCATGGAGTTCAGGATGAAGGCCAAGACTCTACTCCATCTGGCAGCACAGGTCCTAACCGGCCTGGGGGTTCCTTTCTGGCTGAGTAGTGGCACATGTCTGGGTGAGGGAAGGCCCTTCAATTTCGCAGTTTCACTGTTTTGAAACTGTTTTTCAGTACTGTTCTTTAATAGAACAGTAATGTTTTTGTACTTCAAATACCTGAACCTGAAGAGTTAAAGTCGGGGAATGGTGTGGTGTAGTCTGTGTATATTTGGTTAGTTTCTCTTATTCTTGTGATATATCAAATCGAGTTTGAGTTGGTCTTTAACGCACCTGAGGCAGACTGCGTCCCAATTCTCCTAGGCTGGTTTCGTCAGTGCAATGTGATACCTTACAGCAAGGATGTTGACCTGGGTGTCTGGATAAAGGACTACAAGCCAGAAATCATTCAGGCCTTTCAGACCTCTGGCCTGCCTCTCAAGCACAAGTTTGGAAAGGTACGTCTCAAAAGTTACATAAAATTTGTGAAAGTACGTAAGACATTTAAAATTTTTATTGATACCCATATTTGCACAACCAGTTACCCTGTCACAATGTTTCAACCAAACAGTGACTTTGAGTATTTGCAGGACCTGTCACAGAGGTTAAATACATCGTTTTACTTTCTTGTAATTTGGCATTATAATAAAGGTGGTTAGGGGTAAAGGTACAAACAGTGGATAATCCACCTTGCAGTATGGTCCCAGAATCATATCACTGTACTCTCCACAGGTAGAGGACAGTCTGGAGCTCTCTTTCCAGGGGCAGGACGTAAAGCTGGACATCTTCTTCTTCTATGAAGAAGGTGACATTGTGTGGAACGGCGGCACGCAGGCCAAGAGCGGCAAGAAGTTCAAGTGTGTATCTTAGTTTGTGTACACTTACATTTCCTGCTGCTGCAATTTGGATCTGCCGTTGGGAGAACAGATTGTGACCTTTCTGTTAATAATGCCATTGTTTCTGATAATTATTGCTAATATTTATTTTGCTTTGGAGTCTCCTCGCAGTTGAGTAACCTAGGCTTTGTCCACAGGTATGTTTTTCCGAGGTTCAGCCTGTGCTGGACCGAGCTCCTGCAGCTCAGAGTACGGGTCCCCTGTGAGACTCTGGATTATGTGGAGGCCAACTATGGCCCAACCTGGAAGATCCCAGTCAAAACATGGGACTGGAAGAGCTCACCAGCTAATGTGCAGGAAAATGGGGTGTGGCCAGTGAGGGAGTGGAACGAGGTCATCCAGGTGTACTGAGTGTCATGGTGTTCAGTAGAGTGCTGTAAATAAAGTCATGTAGTGGTTTCTCTTTTCAGTACGTTACGTATCCCACACTAAGTTTAAAGTTGTCAGTGTTGAGTTTTGTGTGTATATGAATGTATTTTCGTTTAGGTCTCAGATTAAAAAAGGGATTCCAGGGTGCTGTGTGCTTTTTTTTCCTGAGTGTTGCAGGCCTGGCCGACTCTTGGAATGTGTGTGGGCCCCCCCTCAGTCCACTGTACGCGTTACTGTCCATGCTTACAGTTACGCTGCCAAACCCCTTTTCATCCATTGCTGCCTAAAGAAAAAGAACAATGGCATTAATGGAAATTCAGTATGTAATGATTAGCTTTTAGGCAGCTTCTTCCCAGGAAAAGGTATTTTAAAATATTTTACATATTGAAGTATCTTAAATGTATTTCATGTTTTTATGCTGCACTTTTTGACAGAAGGCAAGTAGAATAAAGTGGAACCTCAAGCTAGGAATGAACAGCTTTAGCACAAATTCTACTGAGAAATCGGTAGTAGGACCTCCTGTGCACGTAAATCTGGATTCTTAGAACGGTTAATCCATGCACAGAGAAATTGAGATCAATCATAAGATGTATTTTGTCTACTATAGGCCTCTCAGTCTAAAAATACGGAGAGGAGGAGGTTTCATGGGTCTACAGCTGCCTGGATAATATCAAGGTCATTGATAAATTATGTTCTTTCTGCTTTTTCATTATTAAGCTCGTCTTTCACATGGTTCATACATGCCTAAAGTACTTGGATCTGCAGTCCTGCTTTAGGTTCTTTGAGTTGCAGTTAAATTACAGTATTACAATAGTAAAACATATCCGGATACACCAGTAGAAGTGAGTCGTCTCATATGGAACCAACAGTAGCCAGTTCAATGTAGTGTGTGACTGATTGCAGATTAATGACTGGCGTTATTTAAAATGCAAAGCTTATCGTAGCATATGAATTCAACACACACCTCTTATAATGGCTTGTCACCACAGTAAAATCTACAAAACAGTCTCACTTCCACTGCATGTCAGTAGGTATTTGTTGGGTGCATTTCACTTACTTCCGATGGAAGTTTTGAAGAAGAGAGTTACTTGCTGGGAGCAGCCAAGCTGGCTGCGGAGGCGGGGATTTCGTTCCCTCTATGCTCATTGGACGCTGTGGTGAAGCGCTCCTTCGCTGGGCGGATGGCAACTCGGCGACCAAAAGGCTGGGAGAGAAGTCTCGCGATAAGTGCCGCTTCAGGTTGCCAAGCGACAGTAAGAGAAGTTGACGGAGAAAAAGCAACTAAAAGGATCGGACTATTCGGGTAAAGATGATGCTGGTTAGCTGTAACTAGATATATTTAACTGCACTGATTTGATTACTTTAATTATATCCCCATGTATATTTATGTATTTGGACATTTCTTGTTCTGTGGGGCATTGTACGTAGGTGCCAGAAAGCGAGAGGAAGGAGACAGAGAAAAACAAACTAGTTAATGTCACAATACACTGTACTTACCTGGTGCTTGTTATCTTAGTTTGACGTGGTGAATAAATGGGAAAGCTGACCATGTGAAGAGATTTGGATTTAATCTCGAAATACGGTATTAATGATGACATGTCTCCACAGACCGTTAACTAACTTAACTAGTTGCCTACCCCGTCTTTGTCTGTATGTACATGGCCTTCTGCCTAAAAACTCTAATAATTCTGGGGAGAAAGCTGTTTGTTTTCTAATATTGTTTATCTATATGAATGTATCTTTACCTTGACTTTAAATCTTACGCACCGGGAGCGTTTCGGGAGATCCGTGAAAGTGGCGGGGCTGAGCCTTTACTAGGGGGGCCGGATTTAATGAAAATGAATGAGAGCACACGCTTAAAAATAAATAGTGTACAGTGTACATTTATTTGGAGATGGTGTCTGAATCCCACCCCCAAAACAGCCCTAGCAATGCCCCTGCTATGCACTGTTGAGTCACTGGTTTATATCAGAATGCTACTGACAGCCACTTGAAAAATACAACTGGAAAAACTGAGCATTGCAACCTAAAGCTGTACAATTTACAGACCATTTAGATTGCTTTATCTAGCCACCATTTGCCTTGATAAATGGTTCACAGACAAGAGGCATTCATTTTCAGCAGGAAATCACGTGACACATATTCCCAGCTCTTCTGCAGCAATTTTCGAAGATGTATGTAGCGTGCCTTTCAGGTTCTTTGCCTTGACTCTCCTGTGCAGGTCATCCCATCGGTATTCTTTGGGATTGAGCTTTGGAGACCCAGCAAGCCAGTTCATTAGTTTGAGACGTCCTTCTCTTTCCTTTTTTTGTCAAATAGTTTTTCCACAATTTTGGGATGTCTCATGGGTCTCTTTCATTCTGAAGAATGAATAATCGCCCATTTGGCTGTAATCCTGATGGAATGTCCTGCCTTTGAAGTAAGCTGTGATAGCTGTGGATTTGGTAAAGCTCACCACAGTGACAGGACCCGGATATTTCAAATTTTGACTCATTAGCTCATATGATTGACTTCAATTCCTGTTAATAGACAAGCGTAAACAGTATAAAACATAGATCATTTTAAGCATGTGTATTGAACCTTCTGACCGACGCTTCACATTTTCTACATCTGGGGAAATTATGAGAATATGAGCACTGAACTACTGCGGGGAATATATTATTTAAATATAATGACAATTATAACCAAAGTATGTAATGAAGCATTTTGTCCTCACAATCCTGTCCTCTACCTGCTTTTTATGTTTTAAGTTTACCACCATAGTAATGGCAAGCCAGCGGCCACTATCTGGGAAGTTTAAAATCCGTGGTACTCTTCCGCCTGGGACCGGGAGACCCCCTACTGCCATCAGGCCCCCGCCGACTGCAGCCCGGATTGGCACTGGGGTGCGTTTATTATTTTCCGCCATAATTACATGCCATAATTTAACAATTGAATTACAGCTTTAAAGTATAATGTGCAGTGTGTTTTTGTGTACAGTGCGCAGTGTCAGCTCAGTGGGAGGTCTTAAATCAGTCCCTACAGCCATCAGTCCTAGCAGGGTTGTTGTTGATAACGTGGGGCTTTACCTGCCTGTGTTTAATGTGGCTGTTGGTATGACAGGAAAACAGGGAACAGTGAGGTTTCGCTCAGGTGTATATAGCTCTGAAATCCGTCGTCATTAACAACAGAAAACTTTTTGTGTGCAGATGGTTCCTGGGACTGGGCGTCCAGGGACCAGAGGGGGACCTATACCCTCCCCGGGGGTCCTGTCTGCTCAGATCAAAGTGACTGAGCGGCCTGTCACTCAGCAGGGTCTGACTGGCATGAAGACCGGGATGAAAGGTAAATGGCTGGTTATTCGATTCGAGAGTGTCGAGGGTTAGGGTTCGAGAGAGTTATTATATTCATCAGTGTGGGTGTTTGGAGCAGATATTGGATTAGAAAATGTGGATGGGGGTTTGGTTAGTTATTAGATTAGATTAAACAGTGTGGGGGGTTAGGGTTGGTTATTAGAGGGGCATCACAGAGACTGTGTGTGGCTCAGTGGGCTAAGCCTTTGTGTCTGTGATTAGAAGGTTGCCGGTTTGAGCCTGGATTCGGCACATCGGCAGAAGGCCCTTAACCCCCAGCTCCCTGGGCGCTGCTATTTGTGGGCTCTGATCAACAGAAACAGTCCAAAAGATATTGGATAACTTTAGCGACATCGTTTGGGTGCCTTCCTGAATGTTACAGTGGACAGTTTCTTTGTTTTTTAGGACCTCAGAGACAAATCCTGGACAAATCATATTACCTCGGATTGCTCAGGTAACTTTTTATCACAAGGTGTTTATCCTTTACCTTAGTATTGGTAATTGAGGGAAGTCTTGGTTTGCTTACTGTCACTCACATTTATTTGTTGTTGGTTATAAGATTAACTTGCTAGTCCACTAAAATCATTCTAGCATATAAAAGTGCTCTAGTATTAGTATGGATTTTGGGTGTCAATTTTAATAAATTATTTTTTTCAATCTCATGGTAGCCATGTCTGTGCTGATGAGCTGTATTCAGTTGTATGTTTTAAATAAAATAGATCCACATTTGTTACATGTTATTTGTCCTCACGTTTGCATTGATGTACCTTGGTGAGTTGCTGTCCTCCTGTCATGGGGCAAGAGGAACAGATTTAATTTATGCTGTTTGTTTTTATCATAACAGGAGTAAAATAAGTGAACTTACTACAGAGTCCTGCAAACTGCAAAAAGAAATTGATGCATTTAATCAGGAGAACTCTGTCTACTTGTCCTATGAAAAAAGGTAGATGCATCAATTTAAGTAAACAGTTGCTGTTGACTTTTAATTAATTGTGAATCATTTCTAACATAAATTTTAAGGAAGCTGCATTTCAAACTGTATTTTCAGGTATTTATTTGCATCACATATCACAAGGTATCCATTCCTGAGAATGTTGCCTTCTTAAAGAAAGATTTTAAAATTCGCTTATAATCATTTTAGAGCTGAAGGACTTGCTGGTGAAATACAAGATCTTCAGGGAGAGCTGGCAGATTACAACATGGTATTTCAATCAGTAAATAATTGTGCACAGCCACGGATTCCAGATACTGTGGTGCCACTGGCCACGGCTCACTTGCGTGATACCATGTTTCTCATTGAATTTCAGCTTGTGGACAAACTGAACACTAACACTGAAATGGAAGAAATAACAAATGATTTTAATATGGTGGGTTTACTTCTTTTTCTCTAAGCTGTCGTAAATGTGTTTGGTTGTACTTGCATAGATATCAGTAGCACTGAAATAGGGGAAGTAAAGAATGACTTCTGTTTTTTAATTACATGCATAACTATAACATTAATTTGTACGTTTCATTGCAGCTCAAAGCAGAGAATGACAAAGAGACCCAGAGCATGGATATTATTTTCACAGAGAGACGCAGGTCAGTATTATGAATATAATATTTTAGAATATATATGCTTTGTGTTAGATCTTGTACACCATGGAAGCTGCCTCCCTTTAAGACTATGTCAGCTTCCACCACTACAGCATGTGCTCCATCCATTCAGAAAACCAAATAAATGAAAGCAGGTTCCAAGTTATGGTTCAGCACAGGTACACGACCACTAGGTAGCAGCAGAAATGTATCAGCATCAGTTCTGGAATAATCACTGGGCAGTGGTGGCTTGATGGTTAGGGTAGCGCATTTGAAAGATTGCAGGTTCGAATCCCCCACCAGAAAGTCACCACTGAGATACCCTGAGCAAGGTACCGTCCCCGGGCGCTGAATTAGCTGCCCCCTGCTATGTCACGAAAGTCACATATGGGTCAAATGCAGAGGTCACATTTCGTTGTTGCGCACTGTGTGCTGTGGTGTGTTGACAATGACCACTGATCACTTAATTCTAATTCTAATTCTAATCACCCATCCACACATCCATCCTTCATGCACCCACCCAACCACGCACCCATGCTTCCATCTCTCACACATCTTCTCCATTAGGGCTGCTCAATTATTCATAATTCATAATCGCGATTATTTTGGTCAATACCGATACTGTGATTATTTAACACAACTACTCATTGTTTTTGGAAATATCACTTTTTAAAAAAAATTAAATAAAAATGTCGTTTTGACGGTGGATTTCCTTGAACTCTAAATATAATTCCACTGAGAGGCAAATAAAATGGGGCTGGAAAGGGGTGCGCAGGATTTATAATGCCAGACAAAACGGGAGCATCACTGCGAGACAAAATGTGGCACATTAATAATTTTATCCCAATTATTTTCTTTTGATAGTCTTTAGAAGCCAAAATCCTAACTGAAATTGAAATTTGATTAATGACCCAGCCCTGTTAGCCATGATGCTCACTGTGTGCTTTTTCATCAGTCAGACCGTATCACTCATGGCTAAAGAGATTCTGCTTGCTCACCTTCACTTTCAGTAAAGAGGAGATGATCCGAACGGTAGAGGAGGAAATCAATAAGGAGAAACAGACAGCAGACAGCATCGTGAAGAAGATGCTGCCTGGTGACCAGGACAAGTATGCTGACATGAGAGCAGCCAATGAAGAGCTTCTTCAGGTGTGACCTTCTGCTTCCGCTAATTTTTTATTTATTTAACCTTTATTTAACCAGGTTTGTTACATTGAGATCACAGATCTCTTTTGCAAGGGAGACCTGGCCAAGGTAGCAGCAACACATAAACATTACATAAACATTACATAAACATTACATAAACATTACATAAACATTACAAAAAAATCTGAGCTCCTAAGAACTTAAAATGGGGGAGTCAGGACATCTGGTCAGTAAGTTAGCAGCAGGAATTAGCTGGTCATTTCAGACATTTACGACCTATCTGAGGCTGAAGCATATGGAGAAGTCTTAAATTTAAATTTGGATCTTGCTGATGACACTTGACGCTGATAGTAATGTGATCATTGTAGTTCTTCTCACAATTTTTGCTGTACTAAGGCTACCATTTTATGTTTATATGGTGTAACAAATGTCCTTGAAAAAGAGGTCACAGCAGAACAGATCATGGTCAGATTAAATATGGATTACAAAGTAATTTGGTTAATCGGGAAAAGCAATTTTAAGGTTAGTTACAGTTGCATTTGTCTGAGTTTTTGTCACTGGCACAGACTAATGTGAACTGGTTCACCTGACAGAAGAAGGATATAAATATCTTCAATGTAGCTAGACACAGACCATCTCAGCTGATGTCCACTCTGGCTTGTTCTCTTTGGAGGTGTTGGACAGTCACCAACAGGAACTCGATGCGCTAATCACTCAGAAGGAAGCACTGGAAGCAGTGAGTGCAGAACTCTTCATCTTCATGTATGGGCTGCTGAGGTCAGGCCCTCTCGCCACGCAGCGCAACGCTAACCGGTGCACGCTGCCGTTCTGCAGGAGATCGCTCACTCGCAAGTGAAGCAGGAAGCCGTGTTACTGCACGAGAAGCTGCAGCAGCTGGAGCATCGCAGAGACACCATGATTTCTGAAGACAAGAGCCTGGGCTCCCCACAGGAGGAGCGGGAGCGGCTGCTCAGACAGGCAGGCTGGCCCCCACTTCCGATCCCAGGAGTGTAGTCTGTTCGGGTCACCCTCAGAGGGTTCAGTGTAATCATGGCAAGAAGTGCAGAGCGTCTGTCCAGGTTCTGTATGTACTGGTGATAGCCCTACATTCTCACTGTCTCTGGTCTGTTATTAGGTCAAAGAGGACAATCAGGAGATAGCAAGCATGGATCGACAGTAAGAGCCGGTCGTTACTACTGAGAGCACATGCGTCTCATATCGATGGCGTGGAGTGACTACAGGCCTCTCTTTTGGAATGCAGGTTGACTGAAATCCGAGAGAAGATCAGCCAGATCAGTGAGGAGATGCAGCACCTGCACGATGACATGGAGGAGCACCAAGGTACTGGAAATGGTCTGGGGAAAGAAAGGAGCCAGCTGCCGGGGACCTGGAGTGGGAGGGCAGGTCTCGAAGTCCCAAAGAGCAGGTCTTGAAGTCTTGAGGGGCAGGTCCCAAGGTCCCGAAGTCCCGAAGGGCATGTCCCAAGGTCCCGAAGTGCCGTAGGGCAGGTCCCAAGGTCCTGAAGTGCCGTAGGGCAGGTCCCAAGGTCCCAAAGTCCCAAAGGATGGGTCCCGAAGTCCTGAAGGGCAGGTCCCAAGGTCCTGAAGTCCCGTAGGGCAGGTCCCAAAGTCCGAAAGGACTGGTCCCGAAGTCCCGAAGGGAGGTCCCAAAGTCCCGAAGGGCAGGTCTCGAAGTCTTGAAGGGCTGGTCCCAAGGACCCCAAGTCCCGAAGGACGGGTCCTGAAGGGCAGGTCCCAAGGTCCCGAAGTCCCAGAGGGCAGGTTCCAAGGTCCCGAAGTCCCGAAAGGGGGGTCCCAAGGTCCCGAAGTCTTGAAGGGCAGGTCCCAAGGTCCCATAGTACGAAAGGACGGGTCCCGAAGTTCCAAAGGGGGGGGTCCCAAGGTCCCGAAGTCCCAAAGGGCAGGTCTCAAAGTCTTGAAGGGCGGGTCCCAAATTCCCAAAGTCCCGTAGGGCTGGTCCCAAGGTCCCGAAGTCCCGAAGTCCCGAAGGGCGGGTCCCCCAAGGACACTGGGGTCCTCTCAGAATTCAGGAGATTAAATCCTATTAGTAAATGTAATAATGAAATTATAATTTAGTTTGCCATTCAAGTTCTCTTCTCATTTCCACATTAACATTAATGTTTTGCGTAAGTTTTTTATAATAAATAAAAGACTATAGAGGATAAATTTATTTATTTAGATGGTACGATTTCTGATTTCTTACATATCCAGATCTCAGTTAGTTATGTATTGTTTTGGCTGTTTTAAGCAGGATTTAAATAATAAATTCATGCGGTTTCATTTGTCTTGGTAGGAGAACGCAAGCAGAAGTACGAGGAACTGAGAAAAAGGGAGGAAAACATGGACAGTGAGTAGAAAGTCAGACCCCCGCAGGCCCCACACCTCGCCATCTTCTGGACAAGTGCTTATTGGCATGTCCTGTGGCGCTGGCACAGATTTCCTGGAGACCTTTGAGGAGACCAAAGCTCAGGAGGTGCAGCGCAGCCTGCAGGTACAGGCTGAGATCGTGGCGTTGCTGGAGCACTCGAGCAGGGTAAGGGCTCTGGGGACACCGCTGGCCCTGGGGTGGCCTGGATGAGACAGACACATCAGACCCATACATGAGTGGTCACCAACTGGCCGACTGACAGGTTAATCCTGAAGACATTACTAGTCGATCGTGACAATCAGACACAAAATCTCAGTAGCTCCCCAGATGATTTTCTCTCACTGTAAAAAGGTTGGTGAGCACATCATCCTAACCTTACCTTTTGCTAGAAAGAATTTTATTAATATTGAATATTATAAATCTAATCGACAGCTATCTGGTATTCATATACTTCAGTCTGAAAAAAATATTGCAATGCCTTATGGAGACACAGAGTGACACTTGATTGTCCACAGTCCAGTCCTACGGCTTCTGCAGTCATTACTGCTAGCCATTAGTCACCTGCCATTGCCTGTCAGGTTTCATCTGTTTCAAAGCCAAAGGCAGCAGTTTGAGTTCGTAAGGGATTCATTGTTCTGATGTTTTTTTTCCCTCATCATTATTGTTTACTTGGCCGTTTGAAAGTGGCCCTATTCAAGAAATGCCTCAAGAGCCATTTGTTCCATGACTTCCTCTACTGCCTCTTTATGTTCTTTGAATGCTCTTATGTTGTACTGTTGCCTGCTCTTATGTTGAAATGGCCCTTGAAGTTTTATTAGGTTCTTACTTTGTTAATTATTGTTGTGTGGCTCCTGCTCCAATACCGCTTACACTTGTACCTGCGCAGTCATAAGCTACTTATGCCTAATTGACTCCTTGAAGGCAAGATGTTTGCAGTATGCCGTTAGCCTGACTTTTATGTCACTTTGGACAAATGCTTCAGTTAAATATGTAAATTTAATCCATAAACTTTAGATCTGCTGATGCTTAATGGTAATAATTCTTGAATATAGTTACTCATAAGAGCTGTGAGATGATTAAGCTGATGGGTTGCAACAAAAACTGAGAACACGAGGGCTCACTGATCAGCACCTCCCTGCTGACATTTTTTTGCAAAGGTAAAACTGTAAATAAAAGCATTTAAAATCCGAGCATGAAAGTGTTTTGTTTCTATTTTTGCAGAACATCAACCACATGAAGCAGATTTCTTCTGTCACGGCCACTGAGTTGAAGTCTATGCAGGAGGATCTCAGCTTCAAAGAGACCGAGATGCACAAGTCGCAGAATACGGCCAAAGGGCTGTCTTCAGGTGAGATCAGGGGGCTCTCTTAAGCTAGGAGGAGGTAAGGAGCAGACACTGATTACAGCGCACAGCCACACCCACCAAACAACAGACCACCTCTGGGATGAGAACCTGAAGGCGGCCATGTGGCGGGTGATACCTCAGCGCCACACTAATCCAAATGGACCAGTGTGAGGGTTTTTCTGGTGGCTGCAGTGCCAATCCTGTCACCAACCCCCAAGTTATTCCCTGTAAGTTGGAGGACCTCCTGACAGGGTCAAATGTAGATTAACATCATACCCAGGACAAAGTAATTATAGGTTAAGGGCCTTGCTTAAGGGCCCAACAGAGTAGAATCACTCTAGGCATTCACAGGATTCGAACCAGTAACCTTCCAGTTGCTGGCACAGATCCCTAGCCTCAGAGCCACCACTCCGTCCGTTAAGATCGGGCCCTCGCTTAAAAGGATCAAAGGGCCCTTTTAAGATAGGTCCCCTGATTAACAGGATCAATGGGCTGTATTCCGCCACGTGGGTTACTGGATTAACACATCTGGTTAGTAAGTGAGCTCAGAGTAAGCTGGTCGAGATTCTGTTTCCAGTTACATTCCTGGTTAAAGGGATCAAAGGGCCATTTTAAGATACGCCTCTTGGATAACAGGATCGAAGGGCCATCTCAAGATTGGGCCCCCAGTTAACAGGATCAATGGGCCATCTTAACATACTACCCCTGGTTAACAGGATCAATGGGCCATCTTAAGCTACGCCCCTTGGATAACAGGATCAAAGGGCCATTTTAAGATTGGGCCCCTGGTTAAGAGGATCAAAGGGCCATTTTAAGATTGGGCCCCTGGTTAACAGGATCAAAGGGCCATTTTAAGATAGTGCCCCTGGTTAACATGGTCAAAGGGCTGTATTCAACTGGTTTTCCGGTGTTGGTTCCAGGATTAGTACTTTGCACAAGGTGAACCCAGTATACCCAAAGCTGTTCCAGTTCAGGTTACTCAGAGTAAGCTGGTCCAGATTCTGTTTCCAGTTACATTCCATTTCTGTGTTGACTTCAGTCTATCCTGTGACATGTCCACTAAGTGGAAACATACTTTTGTTCCTATACTTGACAAAGCAGGTCATGTATGTCAAAAATAAGAAATTACTAGAAATTTCTAGAGTCTGTTCTAGAAAAGAGCACAGACAAATGTGACAAATACTGTGCTCTTTTGGGATTTATTCATGGGCTCATAATGTTATGTTGTTTTAGGGTTAATCGCGATGTTCTGACCTGAGATGGTACCAGCCCCATTTATTGCACAGGAAGGATGGGCTGGGTGGTAGACAGCCCATCTTATGGAAGTGTGTTGCCACCAGGAGAATATGAGATTCAGCGGTCATCAGCAGTAATACAGGAAGGAAGGGATAGTCTCTAATAAGGACAGCAGCAGTCGAGTATGACACAAGGTGGCCACAAGGTGGCAGCACATTGGATTATTTCTTTTTCTTTTTTAAGATGTTAAGCGAACTGATTGTTTTGGCGTTACACTTTCTCTTCTGTCTTGTTATATCATGTCTTTAATTTATTATGAGCTGGTCCTTGCAGGCAGGCTTGGGTACTGGCTGTTCTTCAGCCCTGGCCACACTTGGAAATAAAGCATAATTAAGTGTAATTGTTCAAATTTGGCTGCGTAATGCAGCAGCTGGGTGGAGAAAGGGCCCAGGGCAGCATGACGCCGTGCTCAGCAGTCTTTCATTTCTATTCACATTTCCGTTTATTTCTGTCCTAAGCAGCTCAGTCTAACAGGGCTTCTGGCAGAGCCGACCACCTTGTGTTTCACTGCAGATTATAGTCTGACTGTATACCTTGCATTTGACAGATAAAACCTTTGAATCTTTGAATCCTTCTGCTTGACAGAAGGGACTGAAATCCCCACGTTACAAAGGCCTACTGTCCTGGACTGTTGTGTGATACCTGTACAAAGAATACTGTTCCCCAGTAATTTCCTCAGTCGCCTCTATATTTCTTAAGTAATCATTGCTGTTGTCGGTTTCCTTCCTTTCTGTTCCACATTTTCACCGTAATGTTTTCTTATCTCATCCACTGAAAAGCCACAGGAGCACTTCCTTGAGTCAGCTGTGAGCTAGAAAGCCATTGTTATCTCTCTGTGCTTTTAGCATTGTGCTGAAAGTGAGTTTCACTACTCATGCTTACTTTAAGGGCAGTAATCATGAAAAAGGATGAGTATCAGACAGATCAATGACAGAGTACTCGGCTTTCATATCAGACAGAGTATCTGATTGGTTGGTGTCCACAGGCATGCTCAGAGGGAACATGAAAGGCGGGTTGTA